GGATTCGGGGATGCTCTTTACTGAAGTCCATACGCTGTTACCACAATATCGTACTGTTGGTGTTTATTATGATGACCCAAACACAGTGAGTTTCCACTTTCATAAACAAAGAAATAATTTTTTTGGGAGAATAAAATTAATTTGAAGATTTTGCTTTAGCTGCTGGAAATGAGTTTGTGTTTAGGTAGACATGTGCATAAAGTGTTTGATTTTTTTTCTCTTCTGTTTTTGAACAGAAACAGCCCCACAAGTTGCGCTACATTGTGGGCATCATACTGTCAGAAAATGGTAGTCCAACAAACGCAGAACATGTAAAACTCCTAGAAGAAAATAATTACAGATTTGCAACATTTCCATCTATTGACCATGCAGTCCAAACAAGATTCCCATTCAAAAGTACAATTTCTATTATTGTGGCTATAATGAAAGTTTATCCATCTCTTCGTGAGTACATCGGTAAGTATTTTTCTCTCTTTGTCTCTCTTTCTTTCACTTTATATTAATATACTGAAAAAGATGGAGATGTAATTTTGCACAATTTGGAAAAATGCATTATTGAAGAAAATGTGTTAAGTCTCCAAGTTCAGCTGATAAAATGATATGAAGTTATTCAATAGATTTTTCCCCCCCTTTCTTCAAAAGAACACAGAAGTTTGTGTGCTCGTCCATTCCTAGAAGTCTATGACAACGAGAAATCAGAGATATTGTTTGTAGGCCCACTGGCACGTCAGGATGATTTCTATGTCCCAGAGGTGCTTCAGGAAGAAGAGGACAACAGAGTAAGAACCTCATGATTGACTTCATAGATATCTGGCTTTATTGGCCTCAGACTTCAAAGATATATGCTAAATATCAGATCTAATAAAATAAGGCATTGTAGCCAGGTTGATAGATATTAGATGTAGTCCAATCTCATGGATATCAAATCTCATAATAGTTGACATTTCAAGCATTAACTTTCATAGTATGGTATATTGGCCTTATTGATGTCATACTCCACAAATATCTTATGTATTAGACTTTAATTTAATATGATAGATATTATTTCATAACTTAAACTATGTTTGATGTTTGTATCCTTTTTAAGTAAAGAGATGACTTGTAGAATGAGGTGAACAGTTTACAGTCTTTGCAATATGAAAACAGGCTGCGTGCAATATTTTGCATGCCTTTAGAAGTTTCATCTTCTTCATTTTCATCTTTTTTTAATCTTCAAACACAATCTTCAAGGCTTTTGATATTTCAAGAAATGCACCACAGAAACATTTGAAAATATCTCCTTTTTGCACATGCGACATTTCACACATCTAAAGTCATTTAGGTGCGTGTGGAGGCGTGTGCGGAGCCGTGCGTGTGCAATCATATGCCTCATATTATGAAGACTGAGTTTAATCACTTATGGAGGTTAAAATTATCCATGTTAAATTCTCTGTGATCTTCAGTCTTTCTTTTGATTATGAGGCCAATATATTTTACTGTATTGATGTTTATATACCTTTGTTAGCTTATTTGTATTCATGATATGTTCATCAGTTACTGAGAACAGAATAGTAATTTATCGGTGTCACTAAGGAAAGGTATAATCTGCAGGATGACGATGACTTTGAGGATGATCGGACTGAAAATTCAAGCCGGTCGTGGGATGAGTCTGCATCATTCATAAGAGGTTAGTTACAAGACTTTATTAGCATGTTGATTAGCATTTATATATGTAAATATGTCAACATAGCATCCTAGTTGCTTTGTTAGAGAGATATATTTGACTTCTGATTATAGTTCATATATGTTTTAGTTACAGATTATTGTTTGGTTTGCATTTTATTTATATATATTACCCATGAATGTTAATGATGCTTTAGTAGTGAAAGATAGTGTAAGATGGGTGACAGAAAGTAGAATGTAAATAAGATTGTTTGTGATTTGTAAGTTTTTACAAAGATAAGAAATGTATCATGTATTGTTTACATGAATTTCTTAAGGCTTAGTATCTCTCAAGAATTAGCAATCAAAACAGTGAATACAATTGGTAGGGTATTAATTTATGGCTTTGGTTTAGAGACATAATATCATCCTTAGTATTTCAACATTGAATAATTCCTGTGGAAGTTATGCATTTAAATCAAATTGTTGCTTCAGATTGTCATGTTCTAAGTGAAGTTTTCATGTATGTATCATAATACAAGGGAGATGAATAGCCTTACAAACACTGATATTTCAGGGAGTAGTTTCATGTGTGTAGATTTACATTAAATAGTGATGAGAAAGCTGCTCATTAGCTTTAAGGGAATAAATTATGACTACCATGTGTATTGAATAATTGCAATAAAAGCAATTATTAAATGTTTTTACAAAAGCAGTAAAAGTTAGATAATTACCAAAGGAGACATGTAAATACATAGCAGTATACCTGGTCAGGATGAAAATAACCACATTATAATATGTTAAGCCAAAAATGTGTGTATATATGTTTATGAAAATAATTAGTGAATAGATATTTATGTATGTTTTTTTTTCTTCTTCTTTTTCAAGTGATTGATGTATTTTTCCATATATATATGTATATATATATATATATATATATATATATATATATATATATATATATATATATATATATATATATATATATATATATATATATATATATATATATATATATATATATATATATATATATATATATATATATATATATATATATATATATATATACATGTATGTATATATAGTCCATGAGCAGATTTTTTTTCAGTCAGGTAAATATAGAACGGCTGTACATAGGAATGGAGCAGATAAAGTACTTAATTTTTTGTGCAGTAGTGTTATAGACATTTTGACTCGAGGGTTTCGTAATCAACTGTGATGGAGAATCTCATTCTTAAATTATTGCCCTTTCTAGAGAGCAAGTCTTTATTTGATGTGGTTTTTTATTCATATTGACTTTTTTTTTTCATGTAAAAGAACTCTGTTGTATAGATTTTAAAGAAAATAATGAAAGGAAGAGTGGGAAAACACAATAAGTAATTAAAGGCTTTTTCTCAATGCTACTTTATCTAATGCAGATGTTCTTAACTGTTTTAACCACTATCTCCCCTTTTGTAGCTTGTCCTTGCCCGCACAATCTTGACTGATAGAAACTGAAGATCTGAAGAAATACATGATTTCCTTAAACACTGTTAAGAGAGTTCCAAATATGATTCGACTAATTCCTACTTTCTCTCCCAGATCTCATACCCCCCCCCCCATAAACTCACCTCCCAGGTTAAGAACATCCATTTTGAAGTATACACTGAAGAAGTAAGAATAAGAAGAAAAGCCTTTAGTATTATCATGCATTTCCCGTTTCTTTTCTTTTTCTTTTTCCTTTTCTTTCTTCTTTTGTTATTGAATAGTGATTTTCATATTAGATTTCTATTACTGTGACTATCTGCACGACAAGCTTTCGAAGGATTTTCTGTTAAATTTGTGAGTTGTTTGAGTTTTTATTAGTTTGATATATTTTTATTCATTTTTATTGGTTTGATATATTTGAAGACAATGAAGCAGTCTTTCCTGATAATAAAGTTCGTATTGTGGGTTTTCATTCTGGTGCCTTTGTGTTTTCAAGACTACTTTTGTGTCCAAAACAATTAGCTTTAAGGAACAGTTTGTGACACTCAAAGAAAATGATTGATATTGCTTGTCAGGATGATTTTACATGCCAAGTAGGAAATAAAAGGTCCTTTTATATGAGCAGTGTAGAATCTAATGACACATTTTGCTGATTGTGGAGAGCCGAGATGTATGAATTTCATGGTTCGGCTTATTTTATGTATTGTCCCATGAAGAAGCCTTTTGTCGTATTTCAGCTTTCAAAGGGTACATTCATTTGTTTGAAGTCAGTGAGTGTGTATTTAGATATGGACCTAGTTGATTATGTAGATGATTAAGATTGATATAATGAAGAAATGGAAAGTGAAAAAGCTTTAAAGAATATGAAAAGTTAATTTTCTTCCTTTATATATATTTGTGTGTGTGTGTGTGTGTGTGTGTGTGTGTGTGTGTGTGTGTGTGTGTGTGTGTGTGTGTGTGTGTGTGTGTGTGTGTGTGTGTGTGTGTGTGTGTGTGTGTGTGTGTGTGTGTGTGTGTGTGTGTGTGTGTGTTGTGTGTGTGTGTGTGTGTGTGTGTGTGTGTGTGTTGCTTGCAGCTATATCTATATGATCTTGAAATGTATGGGATATTTATATATGAATATATCTAAATCATTAATTTACCATTATCTTTCTATGTAAGTCATACTAATTCTATCTGTCAGTATTTTTCTCTCTATCTGTCTACCTTTAACTGTTATAAGCTACAACATAGCATATTCTTTTTACCTCATTATGCATCTCTATGATTCTTTCTTGATCTATCAGTTCATATTTGCAAATAAATACAAATAAGCATCTGTATATTCACTTCCATGCATGTGCATACACACATGCACGCACATGCACATGCACGCACACACACACATGTATGCACACATGTACACTTACTCACTCACTCACTCGCTCACACACAAAGTCACATATTCATATTTTCCTGATGTGTTAAGTTCCTATAAAAGGTGCAGTCAGCATGATTTTACCATTTACTCTGGTCAGTATTTTGTATCTGAAATTGATGAGTCATGTTGTTTTGAATTTGATATGAGTAAGCAGCTTCACATGCATTCACAGGGACCTTTCACAAATGATTCATGTAATGAGTCAGTATCTCATTCAGATCCACCTCTCCTCTGTACATAAGATAATTTCAGTGGACAATTTAAAGCTGTCACCCCATTGTCTCTGTAGTAATTTAAGGTTAAAAAAGTGGCTGGTACAGGTCTGATTATGAGAGACTGTAGTAACACAGATCTCCCATAAATGTCCAGAATATATTGTTAGCAGACAGTATAAAATCATCACCCCTTTGCCTTTTACTGTAGTAATTTGAAATGATACAAACAGGTGGTGGTGATCTGAATGATTCAGAATGTTCAGAAAGTGTGGGTGATGACAGTTCCAGCCACCCTTTAGCCTCGACACAGGACAGCCCCAGTGTCCCACCCTCTTCCTCGCTACAAGACAGAACAGATTCCTCCACACTTCATGTTTTACCTCCGCCTGCTCAGGGAGGTTAGTTCTCGCCCATACATACATTGCCAGGCGTTCCGCTACACACAATTCCTGTGAGACACACAACGGTATTTTCAGATTGAAAGGCTGAGGAGTTGGAGAAGTAAGTAGACCCTTGGAATGCTGTTCTTGATGTATCTGCACCATATGCTGACTAAGATGCACTGCTACAAATGGCAGACACGCACTTTTGAACTGGAAATGTGTACGTGTGTGCATGCTGGCATGCGTGTGCGTGCGTGGCGTGCGTGCGTGCTGGCGTGCGTGCTCGCACGCGCGAGTGTGTGTGTGTGTGTGTGTGTGTGTGTGTGTGTGCGTGTGTGTGTGTGTGTGTGTGTGTGTTGTGTCTGTGTGTGTGTGTGTCTGTGTGTCTGTTTGTCTGTGGTTGGTTACGTGTATGTGCGTGTGTGTCTATATGCATACATACACATGTATAGATATGTATCAACATACAGTTGTGGAAATTTATATTATTTTATGAATTTGATACATGAGAGAAGAATTTGAGGTGATTTGTGCATGCTTGTATTTTTGCACTTGCACTTATTTTGTTGGTACCATGAGGTAGCACTCTCTTCTTGTTTTCTTTAAATATGAGAATGTATATGAAAGTTTTCTTTAGATTTATGTTACAGTTTGGCATATAAATATTAACTGCATATGTTTCAAAAAGCATGTATGATAAATGAAGTACTGAGAGCTAGTCATCATGTAACAAAGGCTTGCTTTTTTGTTTGCCATTTTTGACAATGAATTTAGTAGGGTCCAGGCAGGTGTTAAAGTTTACCTGATTGTTACAACTGGTATAGAAGTGTTCTCATGCTTGTTTTCAATAAAAGCTTCAAGGTCTGAATGTAGGTTATTTCTATCATAGAAACTATTTGTAACTTTAACTGTGCAAGTAGATGTCTGTAAACTTCCTATCCTTAGACAAAACAGTCCAACCTTTAACAAATGCAGATAATAAATTTTAGAATTGGAAAAGGGAAGTTATATTGTAATTTTAGCATGTATTAGTACCTTTCCATAAGAGAACAGAACCTGGGTCTCCTTTTAGTTAAAAATGAGCATGTTGAATATACCATAAGATAATATTACAGTAACAAGGCCTTGCCTAAACATCTCATGGACAATTCTAAGAATGGTATATTTGAACAAAGCAAAACCTTACAATGTTATGGGATATATTTGAACTAAGTAGACCTTTTTTTATTCTCAAACTAGGCTACTTAATATGAAAATTATGAGTGGCAGGTCTCAGTGCCTTGCAGTTTCAGTGGTACACAGTAAACAGGCATGCACTTGTATTTATTGCCTGAATCAACAGCTTTCTTAGCCTTGCTTGTATTAAAGTTTATGGTACCTTTCCTTTGCACTGCAACCAGGACTTTCTGATATTATAATAAGTATGTAAGAGCATGTCAGTGAAGTAGATTTGCTCAGGAATGTCACTTAGTTATTATGTTATGTAAAAGCATGTCAGAAGAATAAAGTTTGCTAAGATTGCAATTTATTTATTGCCCTTTTTTGCATGGTATAGCATGCCAGGATACTTTTTTTCTCCATGACTATTTGATGGGGAATAGCAGCATCTAAAATTGCATCATGCATGATCTTTCCACTGTTTTAAGTATATTTCACAGACCATCAGTATCATCTATGATATCATATTATTGTAATAATGTGCCATCCTCATCAATAATTGATTACAAAAGAAATCATATTCATCAGTGATTAAAATTGTTTGATCAAAAATTGTTGGGATATATGGTTATGATTATCTCAGTATTAAAAAAACAATTTTATTCTAGGTGTGTATTTATTTTTCTTCTCCCTTTTTGCTCTGAATAGCTATAGGTCAGTGTAAGTTGGTCAGTTGGATTCCAAAACTGCATGGTTTGACCTATTTTGTTACAGTGTGTTCACAACTCACAGACTAATCTGTATATGCAGTTACATGTATAATTTTGCAAACTAATCTGTATATGCAGTCACTTATATAATTTTGAATTCCTTGCCCTGCCCTGAGTATTTTGCTGGTTTCCTGCAGTTCATTTTGGGTCATGGATTTTTTAATTACATCAACTTATGTGACATCTTTATCTACACACAGTTGCACACATTTCCCTTGTCTCTCTTACAAATAGTGTGTCTGCTAATATTTTGGAAGTCAGATAATTCCAGCTTTCATTATTTTAATGTTCTTTATGCCAACAGAACCAGAAACACCTGGAGGGAATCAGCCTGTTCCCCCACCAACTGAAGTTGTTGCAGCCAGCACTTCAGCTGTGGTTCCTCCTCCAGCTCCAGCCAATGAAGGTTTAGATGGGGCCGACACAGCCTCAGCTGGGGGAGACGAAAGTGATGCTAATACTGGCTCTTCATTTGAAGAGATTGATGAGAGAGAAGCAGCAGTTATGCCTGAAGTAGGCACTATGGATGAGAATCTTTCTGCTTCTGTGAAAAAGGATGAGGATGAAGGGGAACGATAAAGATTTTTATATTTTTTGCATTTTGGATGTGAAAGATGATACAGTTTTGTCTTGCTAACAAATAGCTAATGCTAGTAGTCATATATAGAAAGCATGCATGCAACATGAAATAAAATTAGAAAAAAAAATGTAGTGTCAGCTTTTTTTATGATCACCATTTACAAGGATTTTTCTTTCATTTTCTAGCTTCCCATATATAAAGCAATAGTGATCATTAAATCATGACTGTGAAAGTGAAGCTGGTAAGGCAATTTACTAACAGGATATTTTATTACACCAGAAGAGGAAGTTACTTTATAATTAGTATTTCATCTGGAAAATCCTGAATAGATATTGTAAGGAAAGTTAAATATCAGAGAATCCTGAAATGTACCTTATAAAATTTCTTTTGGTAGATTCAGTGGTACTGACTTACCACTGTATATATTACAGATATTTTTGAATCAAAGTCCATAATTGAAGAAGATGGTATTAAAATATACTACCTCTAGTTTTTTAAAAGGTAATTGAAATGGAATTATTGCATTGTTTGTAACTGGTTTTAAAGCCTTTGTGTTTGTGTGTGTGTGTGTGATTTGCTTACACACTAAATGTAACAGAAGTGGATATTTGTAAGTGTATTCATTAATGATGTGCATTATCACAGCATGTTTTCAGGCACGATACCAAATCTTAACTTTCAAATGATCACTGTTCATTTATTGTTTTAGACATTTTTCAACATTTACTCCCTTTAATTTCAAAACACAGGAACGACTGAACAAGCCATTGTCCTCCCATCTTTTTCTATTTTCCGTTGTGTAGAACATGAGAATATCCTGTTTCAGTTACCATGATGCAGACAAAATAGATGTGCACCTTTTAGTTGATGTCCATGATTTTTGATATTTTGAACATCTGTTGTCATTTTTATTTCTTTTAAGAAAGTTTGAAATCTCTAAACCTGAATGATCCTAATCCCGGAAGTACTTCCATTTCCATTAATCATCAAATGCACCGCCAACAAAATCCGTCCCCGCAGTATGCAAAGATTTCCTTAACATAGTCCATTCCTTAAGATAAAAAGGAAAGACCAAAGATCAAACTCCTTTATAGATTGTAACATTTGGAGAGCAACGGCCAGTTCAGTTTTCTGTGTTGACGAGAGAAAACCAAAACATAATAAATTGCCCAGAATTGAAAGACATGAAAGAGACTGCTCAAATATTCATGCAAAGATTCTAGGAAATGAGAAACTGTAGTTTGCTATTTGGATTTGGCATGTGCAGGTTGCATGCCTGTCTCTGTTGTCGTTATGGTTTTTATTTGTCTTTTTATGGTTATTTTCAGTATGGTTGTTTTTACTAACATTGTTATTTCTTTTGTTGATGTTATTATAATTCTTTTAAGCATTTTGACATTATTATTATTATCATTATTATTTTTTTATTTATTTTTTTTTTTATTATTATTATTATTGTCATCATCATCATCATCAATATCATTATTTTAGTTTTATTATTATTGCTTAACAATTTTTTTTTCAATTATTACTTTTTATTACTATTATGATTATTATTATTATAGTTATCATTATTATTGTTGTTATTATATTTTTTATGGTTATTATTATTATTGTTATTGTGAATATTATTATTATTATTGTTATTATGAATATTATTATTATTATTATTATGATGAGGATGATGATGATGCTTATGAGCATTATTATTATCACTGTTGTTATTGTTGTTATTATTATTATTATTATTATTATTATTATTATTATTATTATTATTATTATTTATTATTATTATTATTTGTTATTATTATAATTGTTATTATTATTATTATCATCATCATTAATGTTGTTATTATTATTATTATTATTAATCTTAATAATATTACTATTATTATTATTATTATTATAATTATGACCATCATTATTATCTTTGTTGTTGTTATTATTATTGTCCTTGTTATTTTTATTTTATTATTATCATTATTATTATTATTATTATTGTTAGTATGATTATTATGATTGTTATTTTTATTATCATTATATTATTATTATATTGCTTAGTTGTTATTATTTTTATTATTATTTTTATTCATTTTTTTATTTATTAATTTTGCCTTCTTATTTTCCATTTTTTATTTCATATTCCAATAACTTACCTTTATTATGAGCCTGATTTTTTATATGTATGCAACTTTCCACCAGTAACAAATATATGCTTCAAAAAGAATAAAAGTGTTTACATTTAAGAAAAGGAGTATTATATTTTTCTAGTACCTTAAAGAATTTTACTGGAAATTTGAATGGTGCCGTTTCTTTCTTTATTATTATTAACAATTACCCAAAATATAGAGAAAAAAAATTCTGACTCTTTCTTTCTTTCTTTTCTCTCTTTTTTTCCCTTTAAAAGTCTTTTGAAGTGGAAAAATTACTCAGTCTTAATGTTTCTAAAAGCAATAAAACATGTGTTTCAAGGACATATATGTATATATATGTATGTGTGTGTATATATATATACATATATATATATACATATATATATATACATATATATATATACATATATATATATATATATATATATATATATATATATATATATATATATATATATATATATATATATATATATATATATATATATATATATATATATATATATATATATATATATATATGTATATGTATATGTATATGTATATATATATATATATATATATATTATTATATAATATATATATATATATATACATATAAATATATATATATACATATATATATATATATTATATATATATATATATATATATATATATATATATAACATATATATATATATATACATATACATATACATATATTACATACATATATATATATATATATATTATATACATTATATACATATACATATATAATATATATATATACATACATACATACATACATACATACAGTGTAGTTCAAAAAGTGTATCCATACATAGATTACCATAATCTTAGATAATATGCCTTTTCACAAAAGGATTATTGACTTAAAGTGTTATTGCTTTGAGTGAAATGTCAATTGAAATGAATGCTAACAGGAATTGAGGAACTGATTATTGCCAGTATGAAAAAAACAATCTTATGTATAGTTATAAAATCTTAGCTTTTCTCTCATTGTAGCCTTTCATATTGTAAAGAAATTAGTATCTAATACCTTTTATCAAAAATTGAGATTTTATACTATAATCCTGTGTTATGATATATGATATACTATGTTGCAATAACTTTATGGGAACTGTTGTTTTCAGTGAAGTGTCTACACTTACTTTTTTTAAGTGTCCAAATTATATATTTTTGAAGCAGCCAATTTAAAATTACTTGAGTTGAAATAAATATGTACTAAAATATACCAAAAATTGTGTTCTAAACAATGCCATACTTAAAGGGTTATTTAAAGTGACAATATCAGGTTCAACTTCAATTAATATGAAGACAAAAAATCAGAAATCTCCATACACACTTCGTACCTAGGAAATTATTTTGTTTTGTGGCAGATACAACAAAGTTTAGAATGTACATAGCTTTTCTTCTAATTCTTGCTTGTGCATACTTGTGTGACAAAATATAAGAAAGAATAGATATAAAAAAGAGTGTCCGTAGCAATAGAAATGTAATATTCATATAAAAGATGTATATTTGTAAAACTGCTGTATACTTTATTTAATCTCTCCAGACTTCAAAATTATCTTTTCAGCAGTACATGCATCTGAATATGTTTATTTATTAATGGGAGGTGCCACCTTCAATTGCAGATGTTATATTTATTATTGTTTGTTTATAATGCATGCAAAGTAAGTGCAGAAAATATTTAAATTAAACTCCCTTTCTTCTATACAAATCTAGAATGCAGTAAATTCTTGTTAATGTGAGTGGTTTTGCTTCTGATCAAATGCACTGGAGTATGTAATAGTAAGGGAGGTCCTGTGGTATTAATTCACTCTTTTAGAGGGAAATTTAATTGTGTATTTATAACTTATTAAACTTCTGGTGACATAAAGATTAGTAACAATTTATTTTGTCTTGTTCTTTATATTCCACATTATATACAACCTAATGTCAAATTCAGACATTAAAAAAATATATATACATATATATATATATATATAACATAACATTGAGATTCTGAATATTCTACTGTAATTTCAGATATATATCCATGAAACTAGTCACCACTATCAGTATCCACCTAAGGTGTTTATATATGACTGGGTATGACACTGCAGAGGCAAACAGTGAAGTACCATCCCCATGATGATGATGTAGTATAAACAGCCCAGTGGTATTACCAGATGCACAGATTCTCCATATTTCCATTTATATAGTAGAAAATTAGGTACTTCTTGAGAAAGTCCACTGAAAATTCCAATGATATACTGTGCAATCTTGTACTATGTAGCATATCAAAGAACATGTTTTATAATGATCTATGTTACCTCTCATAACTGTGCATCAATTTGTTATGCTCACCAGCCACCTACTTACAACAGGCAAGCATGTGTAAAGTGGACCAAATTACTCATCACAGTTCTATATCATGCTTTGGCACCACACTTAGAAACATGAGCAACTTGTTAAAAGACCACTTGTGGGAAATGTAGACAGGTCTTTTACTTTACTTTTCTTTTCTTTTTTTGATTATTCTCTCCCTCATTAAATTCAGTTTCCCCCAGGAGGGCCCTGGCATAAGCCTCTGTGCCAGGGAATCTGGATAGAACTTGCAAAAAGTAACCAAGTAATTACTGGGGGGGGGCAAATGTTCCATGAAAATTTCTTTAACACATCTGATACGTCCATCTAGCTACCTTTGCTTTAGCATCCTTTTGCTTCTCTTTGCTTTCACTCCCACCCCTCATCCCTTGCCCATTGTTGGCTTAGGAGATGGAGACTGAGGCCCAATGTTGGGGATCTCCCCTACTTTGGGCTTCAGCCCTTGGTTTAACCAATTTTGCATGGTCTTTTCTTCTACCCCTTTCCTTTTCTTATCTTCTCCAACCCCTTCCCCAGTCCAGTTTCTAAGATGTGAGAGCCATGTTGAAAGGATGAAAAGCTAACTTTGTATAAGTTATAAACTGCCTCAAGGAGCCATGGGCATCGTATTCACATAGTCATTTGTCTATGTTCCACCCTTGAGGAGTGGACTGTTTTTTTCTCCACACATTTCAGGCTTCCCATGGCCAATAATTAAGATGTTGTACCCTTATCAGGGGCACTCAGACTTGCCTTTTAACAACTAGCCCCCTTGAATCTAAATTCTTTTGTTTACTAACCACTAACTCTCCTTTTATTACGGCTCTGTCCATTGCCACTACACCCCTCTTCTAGACACTCACTGTCAACTTGACCCATCCCAATCACCTACCTAGGTTATAACTCAACCTTCAAAAAACGCCCCTTCCTCTATCTCATAATCCTCCACCCTATCTCTACACAATCATCATATTCTACCTCTTCCTCCCTTATAACAACTCTTCAACCATACTGCCCTTTCTGACAACCCTTTTTATCTGAGCCAAGTGGGATTGAATTTCTATGATTCCTTCTACACCCCTTACCCTGACCATAACTTCCTCTTCAAACAATGCCTCCCAAAGCAAACAGGCAAAGCTTCCTTCCGCAGCCATCCTGATCATTCACACCTTGTCACAGTTACATTTGAGTCTCAAGCCAATGCAGTAGCTACCCTGACTGACCTCATTGGCAAATATATTCCTGCCCAACCCCACTCTTCCCTTAATACTTGTACGAAAAATAGTTCCTTCTCCCCAGCTGATTGCCGTCTATGGCCAGGATTAGTCAGACTGAAAACGATCTGCTCGCCTACCTCATCTCACTTCAATATTACTAACATTACTTTCCGTAGACATGACCCTCCACAAGAGGTCTCTAATGGCAGAGTCCTACCCTGTCCAACCGTATCAACCTCTTCACTATTAATGTCAGATATGGCATTTTAGCCATCGTCAATACATCCTCTTCACTAACATCTAAGTCAGTTGAAGCATACAGCATGGAATAGTTATCACGGCAAGCGAGACACCCCTAGTCAATAATCAGCCCTCATCATATTCAAAAGAGCATTTGCTGGACTTTGCCACACA